TGTACATTATGCCTGCAAGAATGTTTGATTTGGCACGTGCTTTGAACTGGTCTCCACGGTGCATAAGCTGTAAGATGTCATTGTTCATCCACGGTAATAAAGGCGTAAGTTTCACTCTTTTCTTGACAATTCGTCATCAACATCATCAAACATATCGAGAAGAGACCATGGAGCATTGTCAAGGTCAGCAACAAACTCATTGTGATTCAGGTTTTTAAAATTACGGTGAGAATCGGTGAAATTATCTATTGATTTTGAATTGGCAAAAAGTAAGTAGTGCCGTCGTTGTTTAGGCCCAGGGTTAGGGTTAGGGCTAGTGGTAAAATTTCCGCACAGCCCCATACTGCATTATGCATTCAGTTCTTGGATAGAGAAAACAATGACAAAAACAATACATTGCCATTGGGAAAACAGATTTGTTTTACAATAGTATAGGGCTGTGCGGAAATTTTACCCCTTTTTCTTTATTTTTAATTAGCAATGTAATATGTTGTCCTTTGCGGGAGTGTTTGTCAATACGTAATAGACACCCAGAAGTATTTGCGTGAAATCAATAATTAGATTAAACACGGTCGAGCAAAATTTACATTCCAGTTACGCTAACTGTTGAGCAGGCCAGAGCAGTGTTTAGGCAGCAAGAGAAATTTGCCTAGCCCCAGACGAAATTTGCCGAGCCAAAATTGTCCTGTTAGAATCTTAAGAGATAGCAAAGAGTTCTCTAATCTATTAGATATTGCTGTGCAATTGAATCAGCATTTTATTAATGTCGGCCCTAATTTGGCAAAAGTTATTCGTAATACTGCTGGAGATCTATCTATTTCAGATGACATAAATGATATTGAATCAGTTATGAACTATGAAATGACTAAAGTTCTAAATTACTGTTCCATCACTAAACTATCAGTTAACATGAAAAAAACTAACTTCATGTTAATAACCTCACCACTTAAAAATGTTACTCATAAACATTTTAAATTTTGAGCAAAAGACTTGCATGAAGTACCTTGGTGTTTATACAGACCAACACTTGAATTTTTTACCCATGTTAAAAGCGAGGTGTCTAAAAATATTGGGATCCTGTATAAATCAAGACACTGAGGACACTTTTGCTGATAGTAGAGAATCATCCCAAGTTTTCTATAAACTTCTTAATAATCTTAAATTTGATAATATTGTTAAACTGAGTACATGCGTACTCGCACCTAAGATATTTAACCAGTCTTCCAGTATTCCTTCATTGTTTAAAGATTCTCTCAGAATAGTTTCTAGCCTGCACAAGTATAACACCAGATACGCCTTAGGGGTAATTTTCATCGACCAAAAGTAATAACCAACACTGGAAAATTTACCTTTGTATATGTAGCCTCTAAATTATGGGAAACGGACCAACAAACTCGAAACGGCTCTCTATTCGTGGTTTTAAAAAGCGGTATAAAAATCATCCCCTCAGATATCAGTCATAGTTCTGAATTCTTTTACTTCTTCTTGTACCTGAACTGAGTGTGAATAAAAGATTGTTGTTGCCGAGCCCCAGACGAAATTTGCCGAGCCCTAGATGATTGTGCAAACAACTTTTAGGTACAATGGTAGAGGAAGGGAGCTTACTCAGCAAATACAGTTCCAGACTCTTTTAATAGGTCCCATTAGATGAAAACTTATTCCAAAATTTTTTGCAGCACTGCATCCTTCTCTATCCGATGATTGTGTTAAATCTATTGGTGAAGTGAACGCAATTAAAGCCTTAACTTGGCTACTTTTGAGGCCTCTCGTAAGACGAAGCGCAAGTAGTAAACGGCCACACCCGTTCAAATACCTTATGACGATTCTAGGTTCTTAATATCAACAACACCCCTGCCGTTCAGGCAACTACTGCCTGAAAAAAGTGGCCCATGGGGGAAGGGGTTGGGGAAGAGCATCCCTGTAAAAATTGACCTTTCGCCAGTTGGTGTTCGGCGTTTGGACTTCGACATTCGGTGTCGGGTGTTCCGGAGGAGTCTGTCATTTGGATATGGCACCACTCTGAGAGTACAGCCGCTGTTCAAATCTTAATTATATTTCTATTGATCTTCCTTCCCTACCTAAACAAGTTCAAAGGTGGCATCAAGGGTTTCATTTCCACCGAAGTACTATCGGTTTACTCAGCAGCTTCACATTTACGATAGTCTCCCTTGCAGCCTTTTTTTTTGTTGTTGTTCCCGTCACGCAAAGCGTTGTGTGACATGACCAGACAACGACTGTGATTAGCCGCTGTGCTGCTATCGCACATTGTCTGCTTTGCTTTAAATAAGAGTTTCCTAATTACCGACTCTTAAGTAAGGTAACCCTGGCTGTAAAAACAGTAATTTTACCTGAATTAGTTTATTTCTGTTTGTAGTTTCCTGCCTGCAATGCTACCAATGTAGCCGTGAAGACGATAACGATGCTTTGGAACATTGTGCGTTGTCGTCATTCTCTGAACTGGGCAACAACACATAAATCAATTGCAGTGCAAATGAAGACCATTGCCAGATTATGAAAAGATTTACGAAGGAAAAATCTGTTGACCTGTTTAAAAGGAGGTGCGCTAAGGAAAGCAAGTGTACCAACGACTGCTCAAAGCCTGATGATAACGGAGTGATTATCTGCGACATATGCTGTCAAGAAGATCTGTGTAACGAAGGAGAGGGACCTAAAGAAGCGACTCAGAAGTCGGGGACGTCGAGGATCCAGATGATGAGGGGCCTGTCTCTGGTTGGGTTATTACTGCGTTGGTTCCTTTAAATGGAGTTTTTCATCGGAGACCCTAGTTTCCAGGACCCATTTCCCACTTTGATCTTTGTTTGTTTTGGTTCGTTTTGTTCCTTTCAGCATTTAATTTTTTTTGTAGTAAGTAAATTGTTTAAGAGTGAAATTAAAGGTCAACGTATCGAATTTTTAAGAGTAAATTATTGTTAATGAACTTGATAACACACATAGACTAGTCTATATGGAAAGAAGTTAGTTAAATCTCTTTCCAGTGATCATGAATGATTATTTAGCCTTCA